GTAATCCAAGCTTGCCGCGGTTGTCCGTATTTTTTAGAACAAAGGATAAACTTGTTACAGACCACCGTATATAATTTTAAAAATTTGTCATAACACTAATTGATATTTCTATTTCCAAATGCTGTTTTCCAAATAATTGAATTAAAATATTTTATCATTTAACATAATCACCTTTTTTATATATATGACTTGAAATAAATTTTTTAAAATATTATTAGCGCTTATCAAGTAATTCTAAGTCAATATGACATGTGCAAGAACAATCTTAGCTTAAGCAGGATTTGATTATAGAAACACGATTTTTTTTTTCACGATTAGTCCATTAATAAGATAATTATTACTAAACTTTTTTAAAGCACTTTTTAAAATTGGAATCAAAATAATTTTTTGTTTGTTTATTCAATAAATTAAATGTTTTTTCAATTTATGGACATATATAGATACACAATATCATAGCATAAACATAGTATAATATATTTGACTTTTTCTTTAATTAACTTCCACTCAAACATAAATAGTATTCAAAATTGGAACTAAAAAAACTGTTTGCTTGTTCTTTTCAATCCCAAATCGCAAGCTAGTAACATAAAGAATAATTTACTAAAATAATGTTGCTGATAATATAAGTTCAATAGCTACCTAAAAAAGAAGATATGAAAATAGAAATCAATAGATCAAAAAAAAAAAAAAAAAAGGCCTAATAAAAAAAAAAGACATTTTGAAAATTCATTATCTTACTGTTATAAAAAACACAGGAGCTTAATTAAAAAGGTCTTTGCATAGCAACTAGAGGATGGTATTAAAAATATTCAGCTTTAGTAATCTAACTATAAAACTATTATTTTTGTTAACAGACAATGACAAGAAACAGAGAAGGATGTTAAAAGTAATCAGTCTCATTAATTTAAGTATATAATTATCATTTTTATTAAAAGATACCAAAGTGAGCTGGAATTAATAAGTCAGTTAAAAATAGTAATGCATTTCTAAAACAACATGAAACACATTTTAATACTGTTATCTTATGTTAGTTTCATGAACTAACTGGTTTTTTATTAACAAAATCCGGCTTCCCAGTAACAAAAACTGGTTTTTTAATATTTACAAAATATCTTCAAAAATATAGAAAACATACTCTTACAAAATAGAAATAGTACTCTCTACATTTGATTTGAAAATTCATAATAAGTGCATAAAACTTTAACTAATAAACTACTTTCAATTAAATTAAAAATTTAATTGAAATTAAAATTGAATTGAAATTAAAAATTTTTATTTAAATTCTTAGATTCACTGAATACATTTAAAAAAACAGAAAACGTAGATTTTTTATAAAAAAAAATCTTCTTCAGTAAGTTTTAATAGTACTAAATAAATAAAGTTAAAAATTTATTAGTAAAAGTAACTGTTTTTCTTACTGATAATTAATGGATTTGTAATAGGAAAAACAATTTAAAAAAATGAATAACAACAACAATACATAATACCAAATAATCTATTTGTATTCAAACAAAATAATTCATTTACAACCAGAAATATACATCAAATTTATATTCAAAGTAACTTACTTAAAAACAAAATTATACCAAAAAAATGAAAAATAATAAAATTTAGACAGGGTATCTACCAATATTTCAGGATAGAATTCCCTGATCTACTATCTGTTTTGCCTGATTTAATTTAAAGTTACCCAAATTCAACTTTAAAAAAAAATAGATTCCCTGATCTGAAATAAATCTTGTATAAATAGATTTTATAGTAAAAAATTATATTTTTAAACGGAGCAATATATAAGATTCGTGCGTGTAAATATATATCCATATATATATTTATCATGATAATAGAATCTATTTAATTGCAAGAAAAACCTTCGGCTAACTAAACCCAAATACTGCTCAAAATTTTACCATTAACTGCAGCAGCAGTTATTACAGATATTGTTACTGCACTAATTAAATTGCAGTTGTTGTCGTTGCTCTTGCTACATTAAATAAATTATAATAACTATATTTTTATTTAGGCTTGCTCTTTTAATTTTGATAAACAATCTAATAAAGAGAAAGAAAATTTTATTATTACTAAATGAAGATTTAAAGCAACATTGCATTGCAATATCAAACGTTGTCAAAATTTATTATTACAGTATTAAAATTTATTATTACAGTATTAAAATTAATAAACTTTAGCTCTAAATCTTTTACATTAGTTACTCTAAAGTTATATTCTAGATAATGATATTATCAAAAGATATATAAATAGACATATATTAAAACATAAAAAAGATAAACAATAAAAAAACAATATTTGAAAATTCTTACACATCAGTCGCAAAGGCGCTATAATTTTAAAATATATACAAACAGTATTTACAAATAAAAAGTTTAATATTAAAAAAAACTTAAAAATCTTACGATTTGGTTTTAGCTGCACGACTATAAAAATATAAAATTAATAAAACATAAATTACCTTATATTTATAACAATAAAAAATAGTATTCAAAATTAAAAATATCAACACAAACAAACTATAAAATCTTAATATTTTGTTTTCTGCTGTTCCACTAAAAAAATTAAAAATATTGAAATATGATATAGCCTTATCCTTAAGTTAAAAACAAATAGTATTTGCAAATAAAAAGTTCAATTCACACAAACTTAAAAATATTACTCTTTGGTTGTGACTTATGAACTATATATATATATATATATATATATACATACATATATATATATATATATATATATATATATATATATATATATATATATATATATATAATATATAATATATATATATATATATATATATATATATATATATATATATTATATATATATATATATATATATATATATATATATATATATATATATATATCTATATATATATAACTATATATATAAATAATACTATAAATATACTATTACTTGAATATAATGTTATTTATAATTTTATGTATTCAACATAATAGTTAAATACAAATTTAATTTTATATACAACATTACAATTTATCGCATGTTAATATTCAACTGATGTAAATTTAAAAGTATGTAAATGTAAAAACTCTTATTATATTTTGATATTAGGGGCAGATCTAGGATTTTATAAAACCGCAGCTAAAATTATTCAAATCACGTTATAATCAAAATTATTTTTCAAGCTGATTAGCCTACGTCCGATAATTACGTCAATAAGACTTATTACAATAATTATGTATATATTTATATATATGTATATATATATATATATATATATATATATATATATATATATATATATATATATATATATATATATATATATATATATATATACATATATATATATATATATATATATATATATATATATATATATATATATATATATATATATATATATATATATATATATATATATATATATATATATATATATATATATATATATATATATATATATATATATATATATGTATATATATATATGTGTATATATATATATATACATATGTATATATATATATGTATGTACATATATATAATGTATGTATATATATAATCTATATATATATATATATATATATATATATATAATATATATATATATATATATATATATATATATATATATATATATATATATATGTATATTTATATATATATATATAATATCTATATATATATATATATATATATATAATATACATATATATATATATATATATATATATATATATATATATATATATTATATATATATATATATATATATATATACTATATATATATATATATATATATTTATATATATACATGACCGGATATAGGGGGTTGGTGACAACAATAAATTCTAGTGCAAACACTAAAACAGCACGAAATACTAGTACAAACACTAGGATTTAGTGTTGTCTAAACAAAAATGAGTTGGATTAGTTAAGTTGGCAGTTAAAAATAAATTCCTTTTAAAAATGATATTTTATACATAATTTTTAGATTTTAGTTTTCGCCATCAATAATTAGAAATGGTTTAAAACCGTTTCAATTATAGAATGTTCGTCTAACAACGTTCTATAGGCACTTTAGTAAGTAAGATTGTCCAGAAATTGAATAAGAGAGTAGTAAGAACAGATGATTGAAATGCATTTAAACCTGGTTAGAAGTAAAGTATAATCAGCACAATTTTAATTAAGTACAGATTTATTTTGTAAGAGGTGTAAATGAATATAAATAAAAAAAAAAAAAAAAGAAAGATAGTAAAACTGGTAAGTCGTCTATGTAATAGTATACATAACGATGATTATAAAAGAAAACATATAAATGGTATGTATGATATAAAACATGTAGTAGTATGTCTGAGCATTTGAAAAAAGTTTATTAAACCACTATTTATTTTGTTAAAAACACCCTTACCACCCTTACCTTAAACACCCTTATGTACCAAAAACTTAAAATAGAACATTTATAAACTTATTTCCTCCAGGTTGAGATGTATCTAAAATCAATGATTATAATGGAATTTTTTTTTAAAGTAGAGTTTCTAGTGGTTTAATTTTTACAAAGGCATTTCTGATTTATCAAATATTTTTAATTCATCAGAAACGCACAACAAACTTTTGCCAACTATAAACCAAATATACAATACAACTGCAGCATAAAAAAATCTAACTCTTAGTTAAGCTGTTAGTTTTCAGAAAGTTACATAACATAAAGATAACTTATTTATATTTGCTACGTAATTCACAAATAAATAATGTTTAACAAAAAAATTATTATCTGCATTGTTTCTCCATACCATTGCAACATTATAAGCTTATATTAAAGACGCGAGGTAAAGTTATTTAAAAATCTATTCTTGTTTGCATTACTTCTATAAAATAAATTATGCATATAAAACCTACATAATTGTTAATGACTGTATGTAACATTCGCATTAAACACATAAAACTTATCAAGTTATTGTTATATATGCATAATTTTTATATTAGTTTGCACATAATTATAAGCTATAAATAAGTATT